CAGGGAGTGTCATCCCAAATATTCTGCCAACATCAACTCCTAACCAAACCTTCAACAACATTCACAACAAATACTCATGCATCTCTTTCTGCGATACAACGCTTTTGTGCATGATTGTACACTTCGACAGAAAATTATCCAGATGTCAACTTTTTAGTAACGTGTCGCATGTAAACGTTAGTGTGGCGGCTTCAAGGGCTTCTAGGGGGGAATATAAGGTGAAAGAAGTGTCGGTGTTTTATACGGTAGGTGTATGTGTGTATTTGTGTGTGTGTTTGTGGTGTGTATGTGTGGTATCTGTTTGTGGTGTGTGTGTATGTGTGACGTCTGTCTGTGTGTGTTGTGTGTGTCTGTGTGTAGGTGTGGTGTCTTTCTTTTTGTGTGTGTGTGTGTGTGTGTGTGTGTGAAAATTGACAACTGTTCGGTAGATTTTGTTAATAAAATTAATTAAAATTAATATATTTAATTAAACTAATTAGAATATAAAAATGTTATCAGTTAGAAAGTTCAAAAAGAAGTGTGTTAATTATGTTTCCTTAAAAATTTCAGAAATGCGTGATCAGGGAATTGCTCATACTAGGTTACATACCAACAACTTATCAATTACTACTTATCTTTTAATAATACCACACCACCAAATATGTTATAAAACATTAAATTCTCCATCATCTGGTCAATATCGTCATCTTTTTTTTCTATAAATCAAACTCTGTCAAACACAGAGAAAACAATTTTTAATTGAAACATTCATGATGGCGAGATGGTGTAAAATGATTAAAAGCTTCCGGTTTTGCTCTGTAGTAACCGGGTTTGAATGCAAACAGATCTGCAGCTGCGAAAGACAAAAAAATGTGTTTATTATAACTCTTTTCTTAATTTTAATTTATTTCGTTGTTGTTACCTTGGCTTCGTCAGTACGTTACTATTGCTAGCTTTTGAAAAAATATATTTCGGTCATCATCATCTCGTCATCTTTATGCCACAACTATTACAACTATAATTTGATTCAATTCAATAAAATGTCTATTCAGCAAAAACATAAATAATCATCAAAAATAAAAAAAAATAATATCGTCATCCTCATTATCATCATCATCTTTATCATGCTCATCATCATCATCTTGCTAATCACCATCATCTTCATCATCTTCTTCATCATCATCATCATCATTTTACGCGCTGATGTGCCAGCCTAGTACGTATCACATTACACTTCAATTAAGCAAACAGCTGTGTTACTAACATCACTGAAAAATGATGATAATAATAATAATAATAATAATCTGCATAGCAATCAAATGTAACTCGTCCGTGCATCTCTGGCATGCAGCAGACACATACATACATACAGACATACACACGAACATAAATACGAACATACATACATACAAACAATCAAACAAACAAACAAACAAACGAACAAACAAACACACACACACAGATCTATCATTTCTCTACTTGGGTTGTTATAAAGACCAAGTGACAATAAGAGATATCGCCTATGTGAGATACGACTCATTGAATGGAATGACACCTGCACTCTGCATACAACACTGCTTGCTTTCTGGATACACGTTTGCTGGCCTTCAGGTTTTGTGTGACTTTTGTTTTTGATGTTGTTTGTTTATGTTGTTTTTGATGTTGTGTTGTTGCTTTTGTTGTAGATTTTGTTGTTGTTGTTGTTTTTGTTGTTGTTGTTGTTGTTGCTTTCACGCCGAAAAAACTTCGGCAAAACATTTTTAACTAGTCTGACATCTTTTGAATGTTTTTCAAATATTTTGTGTGCATGAATGAATTGAAAAAGTATCGAAACTGTTCAGTTTTGTTTGAAAGTGATTATTCTCAGAGCAACAAATTTAAATTTGTATGATAGTATACCAACCAACTAGCAATGTGACCTACCAATCATATAACCAACCAACCAGCCAACCAATCAATCAATGAACCCACCAACTAATCACAGAACGGGGTAGTCTGTTTTTGCGACAACAAGTACGGATCGTACGGATCACTCCAGACGAATCAATGTAATAGAAAATGTGCCGGTGACGCCAGCGTCAACTGTGGTGGCTCCTTTAAAAACAGCGTCTACAGAGGCAAGTCTATTTATTTGCTATAACTTTTTTTACTCATTAAATCATATGGTAATTATAAATGAATGCGTGTGTGTGCGTGTGTGCGTGTGTGTGCGTGTGTGCGTGTGTGTGTGTGGGTTTGTTTGTGAGTAAATGAATATTGATGAAGAGTAGTAATAGAGCCAGTGTTAGAGGTATTGTTATTGTTCTATGATTCGCCGTCTAATATTTTCTTATTCTGACTCTGCATAACAAGCAGTTGGTTCTATGGTGTAACGGTTAGCACTCTGGACTTTGAATCCAGCGATCCGAGTCAAATCTCGGA